ATTTCAAATAATAATAATAATAATAATAATAATAATAATAATAATAATAACAAAGTACTAATTTTACGTCCTGGGTTACGTGAGGATCGAATTGTCCTCACGACGAGTTTCCTGAGTTATCTTGGTGTTGCATTTTCTTAAAAGCAAGTCTCTTGTTAAAGGTAGTCTTGTTGAGTATTCTGTAATGTATTCTAGTAACTGGTTTTGTTTGACTCGTGATTCAAAGGGCTGTACCTTGGCGGAAAATTTATTAAGTGTTCTGTACTTAGCCGTCATTCAGGCTCAACTTCCAACGATGGCCTTGTTTAGATTTGTCATCTGATTCTGGTTTGGGCCTTCCCTTAAGTTCTTGTCTTGGCTTCGGCGTAAAGAATGTGCTGTTTCATTTGACCTGCTGTTCATTTGGTAATAGGTTGATTTTGTTGTTCCCTGAAATTATTCACTGCAATTTTGAAGAATCAAACGGATTCAAAACCTGTATTGGCCCCCAAAAACGTGACACTTTCACTACGAGGTGTGCGACGCTCCACACAGCAGATGGAGAAAAGGTTTAACCAAATTCTCTCGAAACTACATGCTTCGCGTATACATTTCCCTGACACACTTTCAAGATAAGAACATATTAATTCAATACACTACTTCTTCTAGTTAAGAAAGATAGATGAACTTTGTTTAGCTTGACACGCACGCCAGCTGCATTGTGTATACAGACGTGCGGAAGCACGCACGACGATGTCATGACAAATGTCTTCTTGGCTCGGCAAGTCTCGCCAAATTCTACAGAATATTGTGCTACGCTGTTAGATCCTCCATTTAATACCTCACTTTTTCATGAGTGAAAAGTTGCCCATAGAAGGCAAAAATGTGTCGTCACACCTACTATTCTCCAGCTCCTCTCAACTCTTTTTTTTTTTCCCAATTGCAAAGAGGCCTCTCGGGTCGGGAGATCACAGCTGTTCGTAAGAGGGAAGCCTCCGGAGAGAGGGAAAGGGGCTGTACTTGTAGCAATGTTTCCTTTTGCAGCAGACCCACTTGGGCATGATAGACAAACATGCACACACAGAGATTGGCTAAATGGTTACTATCCGTTTATTTCATTTGGCCACAAGAAAAATTACGAGCTACGACAATAAAAGATAATTCAAGCTCAGATTCACAGGAAAAAGTAACAAGGAGCTCGGGAGTAAACCGGTAGAAATAATTCTACCGATCCCATTTATTTACTTTAACTACTTCCGTCACTTACTGTAAATGGTTCGAAGAGCATTAAACTGAAAGTTAATCGTCGCGTGTCCATGGAAAAACATGTTTGTTCGATAACGAGGTAAACGGAAAGTTCCTGTGAGGCATTCCATGTGAAACTGGTCGTTTAGAAGGAAACAGTAGCAAAAGATTGGTGAAAGTATGAAGATGCGACTGAAGTTTAATACGCCTAATACGGTGGCCCAGAAGGCTTAACGCAAACAAAAAATATACTGCANATGAATTGGACAAAGTGAAACATCATTGGAACACTCATCGAATACGCCCATCAAGGCACAGCACAGTGCCTGGCATTCCTAATGTACTTTACCACTTACCTTATCGTTCTGATGGTATTGACTGCAATGTGACAATTCCAGCTGAAAAGACTAATGCTGTGGAAGTATATGTACATGATAATGATGATGATGATGACAATGATTCAGCTATAATTATACCAAGAGTATTTTGATTTTGTTCTGCATAATGAGATGCTTCAGTACCCAAACACTCCTGATGAAGCGTTCCATCTCTTTAAAACCTTATTAATTATTGCTAACAGGTAACTCTGCAAATGAACCCTAGTAGGGAATTATAGATGTACAGCAAAAGGAAGTTGTCATGATATAGTTTCAGATTTATGATTAGGTACTTGACTGTATGTTTATGGAACTTAACTTAAGAAAAAATATGACTGCATGACTACAAATAAGCAAGCACAGGTATCAAGTAATCAATTTAATTATCAAATACAAAATTGTTAATTCTTTATAAACATCAAGGCTTGTTAATTTACAAACGGATAACATGTACTACATTGTACTATTTGTAAAATGATAAACTTTGTGCAACCCCAACTTAACTGTAACATGTGACATAATTGTCATAGAGTGCAATATATAAACCCATGGAACAGTATTCCCTAAACAAATGTAATCTACAAATGCATGATAAATTTCAACTGTGAAAGAAATTATAGTACTTTAAGTCAAACAGTTATTTAATAATAGTTGAAATAAAAATAGAAAAGGTTATAGGACTATAATTATAAGGAATTTCATGGGTATATATTATTTGAGCTCTAAAAAAATCATACAATGTCATTATCTGCTTGCATTTAATAGTAGAGTTGTTTTCAGAAATACATGAAACTTGTATCAAGTAGTATGTGCATAAGTCAATAACTTCAAAAGGAAACAATGGTATAGTAATCACTTCTGTGTATTATTTTAGTGACTGTTTCAATTGTTTATGAAAACCACTCTAATCATTTACTTCAGAACTGTCAAACCTATCAAAGGTAACATTTTTAAAACACTGCAACTTGATTAGTTTACTAATGGCAAAGTTGCTCCACCTGCTAAAAAGTGTTTATACATTCTGTAACGTAAAACACATGACTATGATTGTAAACTTTTTTCTAAACAATGCCAAAACCTGGAGAGTTAAGCATGCAGTATATGAAATCTCCTTTAAATGACCCATAACTAGATAACAGATTGTCTGTAACTGTAATATACAGTACATTAGAGGAAGTGCTAACGTAGAGCTTTTTATTCCCCTCGTGTATGAAAACAATTGAAGGCTTGGGATGTAAACCTAATGGAGGGATACTCCTACTCCCTGTTAAAAATGCTAATATACCTTCAAGAGAAATATTTACTGTAACATAGGAATCAGTACTACTATCATAGACCTCACTCTTAACAAGACCTTGTTCAACACCTTCCAACAATTGGTTCCAATAAAAAAGAATGGTCTTTTCTTTTTCATTTTTGTTGCTTCCTTCAGGAGCTAACTTGACAGTAAATAGGCCATCTATTAATTCTGCAGTTAAAGTACTACTAGAAAATTCCAATTTTTTCCTTGCCTCAATGGGGTGATTCCTCGGCATATGTAAAACCCCAACTGCATTTAACCCATCAATAAACTGATTCATTTCACCAAGAGAAGGTGTCAAAGTGTAATGGATTGTGGCAGCTGTTAAAAACTCGGCCTTATTGGAAAAGACTATTGCTTTGGTATAGCCCATATCATGAAATGATTCACTGAAATAAGAGTTACCTTTCTGCAGTAAATGGTTTGAACCCGGGGGTAACATGTGAAGGTGTAGTCTGATCGTCCGGGTGAGTGTAGTCCTGAGAAGGACTGTTGTCGGTGGTAGTGACTGACGTTTCGACAACCTGTGCGGAAGTCATCATCAGAGTCAAGTGGCTTGACACTCACCAGGACGATCAGACTACACCTTCACAAGTTACCTTTCTCTTCAAATAACTTTGGGTCATCTACACTATTTAGTTCTTTCAACTCTCGTTTTACATCTTTATTAGGAATACTGTCAATATTGCTCTTAACATGCTTAACATCACCGTGTAAAAGATAGTCCACAACTGGTGGACAGAAAAACTGGGGACCCCCACTACCATTAACAATGGCCAAAC